TTGTAGTATAAAAAAATATTTACTGTGAATCCCAGGAAAACACACTTGGTGCTTGTATAGGAAACACCATATAGTAGGAACCGATATATAGCTACAAACAACAAAAGGCTCTAGCCATAAATAAACTTGAGCCTGAGACTGCTTCCCCAGAATAAGATACCTTACGCCCTCCACCGGTGGCTAACACAAGCTCCTTCTCATTAACAAAGTGTCTACCAGAGGAGGACTGCCATTGAAAATAAATTTAAAACAATGCTTTGAGACAGACACTTAGGGGCTGAGGATAACTGCATACAGACCAGCTTGAAATAGACTATTTCCATGTTGAGGCATTTTTTGTTTTTTTGCTGTAAAAAAATACATATGCTCTGTTATAATAAATACATCAAGTTCTCTGTGGATCAGTTTTAATAATTAATATTACTAGGATCCACCCAGATTATATACCATGGATCGATATATATATATATATATATATATATATATATATATATATATATATATCATATTTAAACATTATTATTAGTGGATACTCATGTTTAATTAGATGCTCCATTTGTTTATTAAGCAGTATATTTATTTATTTTTGTGTACCTGCCTGAATGTTTCAAAAATCTTATTAAAGAAAAATTTGCACTCTCCAACAGGATTTGAACCTGCATCTTCAATGCAGAGATAGATGCCCTTATACCTGGCATGCTCTAACCAACTGAGCTACAAAAAACAATCAGACAAGGCCAAATTTATACCTTTAAGCAAAATTTCTCTCATCATAGATTTCCTGAAATTTTCATATCTGCACAGTTTAGTATCCAAACGTAAACAAAGAATTTTATATAGTAAGGACCTTGTATTATAAATAAGTGACAGATGTACTAGAAGACTATATTTTTCAAAAACCAATTTAAATTCTGCAATAAATCTTTTGAGAATTGAGTCCTGGAAGTTTCTCTAGGCAAATTGGAGGAATAATTAAATTTATTCAATTCTTTCCAGGATTGTTTTATTGCCAAAGATAAATGACTTTGTGCATCTTATAAAACTGAGCATCCACCTCAATATGATTGTAAATTTAGCTGAGGTTGATTAAAGGTACAAGTTCAGAATACATTCAATATTATCTCATATCAATTCATATAGGAATGCCTCAGCATAAGGTAATGGTTAACAAGCTATTCTGATTGATGACAGTTGTTTGGTGAGTTTAAGTGCATCATACCTGTGGCTTTGTGCCAAAATAAGCTTAGTAAAATAACAACCAAATTTTACATAATCTTTAGAAGAAATAACTCAGACTACTCCCTGTATTATGGGAATTGCTCTAAGCTATGTTTTTCTATAATAAAATTCATACACTACAAGGCTCAAGAGCCACTCAAAGTTACCATTAAAATGAAAGAAAATGAAGATTTTGAGAATAAGGAGGATAGATTAGCATTTAACCCTTACTATCCAGGCAAGTGTTCCTACAAAGTAGTATTTCTTTGGGAAAAAGTTATCTGAGTGGAACTTTGCCTTTATATTTTGAATACAGGGGAAATGAGAGTGAATCGACTGTGTGGAAGGTTTGAACTTTAGAAAGTTAACAGTGATTTCTTGCCTTTTGATTGGTGCACAGCAAATGGAAAAGCAAATACAAGTTTGTAAAATCAGTTTAAGCTGATATTCCTGATAAAGGTCAAAGAGGAGATTCTGTTTAGCATGTTATACACCAGGTCAATTGCCTTTGTATTATCCAACAATTATTTTCAATCATTCAGTGCAGGGATTCAAGATACCTTTATCATGACAGTATAATCTAAGATACAATTACAGAATGTAAGAAATAATACCCAAGTGTTTAAGCTTGACAGTCAACATATATTTCTTTATCTACATTAACATTAAATATATATATATATATATATATATATATATATATATATATACATACATGTAGGCTTCTCACCAGGTGTCAGTTCAACGTGTTATCTTGTGTCACTTTACAATTCACTACTAGTAGCCGCTTGTAGGTTGTATTCTTTATAACTGGTGGTTGTGCTATGAATGGAATTATCAGTGTCTCTAATATTAGTGGTAATTATGGCAAGCTTTCATAGATGACATCACTGTCCAGGGTGCCCTGAAGTGAGGCACATACTAGCCTGTTTGGAAAGTTTAAGATCTCGGGCAAGAATGAAAGTCCAGTAACACCTTGTCATTTTAGAAGGCTGTCATTGTGATTATATGGTTTAGGCTCAAAAGTAAGAATATCTCAACTGATTATAAACAGTTGCAACAGATCGTCAGTATTTATTACTGTTGCCAGGCATTGCTAGACAGATATTCATTAGCAAATCAAGGTTTTTACACAGCCTTTTTCTTTTTACTAATGTTCACCCAATAAAAGGCTCAAGAGCCACTCAAGGTTGAGTTTTACTGAATATATCTACTGAATATATCTGATATAAATGCAAAAGGAGGAAGAAAATATAGATTATAAAGATATGGCATTTAGATAAAGATTTAATCTTGAAAAGGTTAAGATTGCCATGTTCAGGGAAGCATGCTTGCAGGAGTCTATTTAGTAGTAGTTCTTGGAAAGAAGCTATCTGAGTGGAATTTTCTTCTTACCAATAGAATATGGAGGGAATGAGGATGATTCAACCTTGTGTATGTAGCAAGACAAATTCATATCCATAAATGTCTGAATTCATCACACTAAAAGATGTAACTTGTTGGAACATTTGTTCTAGAAGTGGTAATAGAGTTGCTGCTGTGGGAGAGGAACTTCAAGGTGAAAAATAAGTCATCACCCACAAGGCCATGTAAATGACCTTGAAGTCTGTCAATGCTGGAAAGTGCGTATTGTGTGCTTCCAGCTCAGATATGTCAACAATACTCTATTTTTGGTTTGAACTGACTCTTGTAAAGATAAAGCATGGTAGACAGTGTCGGATACTTTCTACAGAGTTATAGAATGTGCTGCCCATTTTTTTAGCATCTTTAGTAATGGGTCATTGTTGGTTAAAAGTATTGGTCTCATACTTAGGGTGATGTGATTCTTGCAGGTATATATGTGCTTGACAACTCTTCGGCTTCTACACAGAACAATTGGTGTTGATGTTCAGAAATTGATTAATGTCTTACAGATAATGAATCCATTGGAACTGCATGCTATAATGATTAATATAGTGTTGCTGAGGAAACAAATGAATCTTGCCAATTGGGTGGCAGAAACTGCAGAAAGAACCAATTGGAGTAGAGCAGTCCACGAAAAACCAACATCCTTCGAAAACATCAGAGACAAAGAGATGAAGAGAGCCCAATGACAAGCTAAGGATCTCCATTCCCTGAACCCTTCTACTCTATCATGCAGTGGCCGTGGACATCTCTTCAGATCTAACATAGAACATTTCACACAAACAGAAATATCTATGAGCACCATAATACTCTGAAACAAGTTGCTCCGACAATGACTAAATGCTTTGTTAGTGATGGATACAAGGTTGTTAAAATTCATTTTACATGGTCATAAGAAGTAAGAGATCAGTAACTGCAAAGTCAGGACAGTAAGAAAATAGAGTACCGTATAGTGAAAGTAAAAAAAAAAGTATCTAGTTAACTGTGATATAACTGAAGAAACTATATTATGGAATCTATAGTTAAAGAAGCATAAAACTTAGCAAAAATGCTTATTCAGACAGTGATCATGTATTTATAGACTTAAATCAACAAAACAGAAAAAACAGGGAAACCTCACACTAGAGTTCATCCTGGAGGAAAGCAGTGTAAGAAAGACTTTGAACAGAATCATATTGTACATGAAAAGCTTGAGACATGTTCACAAGGGCCTTCATATTAATTTCCCTGCCACAATTTGATGTAACAAAGTCTAAAAAAATGTGATCATATCTACGTCAGGTAGGACACAAAAATCATTAGATGCCACACATAGCAATAAGTCATTCTACTTCCAAAGTAGTTCAGCATTGCTACATCCATGCAAGAGAATGTAAAACCCTAGCAGAACTAAAAAGCCACAGCTGCACTGCTCATATTTGTGAATTGGATCAAGCGATGACATTGCTCAAAATCAAGTTGCCGCTATCAAGTCAAACAAAGCAGAATAGTTGGACAACTTGGGTGGTTACTAAAAAAAAAATACTCCTTTTTTTTTTCTTTCTAGTGAAGTGTGTATACTGGCATTAGGGACATTCAAGTAGACAAATGGTTGAAAGTGTGAAAGAAAGAATCAGCAAGTCAACTTCAGATTCTGGCTGTGTTCACTTCACACTAATGCATTTCTTCTCTCCATCAGTTGTAAGCAATATAGCAAGGAAGACTGGGTTCTCTAGCCTTGATTGGAAACCAGACTAGTAGAAGAACAACTCTGAATCACAGATTGTGGTGAAGCCAGTGAGGAACCACTGTCTTTCCCAACATCAATCATAGCAATGCATAATTTACAGATATTAAAAGAAATGTGTAGAAAGCCATGATCATTTATATCCTGAATAGACACTTAAAGAGAGATACTGGCATTTAGAGATATCTAGTGAAAAGAAAATTTAACAGACTGATAGCAAGTTTCTCTTGCTGGTCAAAAGGTAATACTATATTCCCACCTATGGCTTGTCTCCAGTGGTTAGTTCTTATCATAAGTAGTTCTTATCTTATAAATAGTGATTATTAGATGTCTCTAAGTATCATCCAAATTTCCCTTATTAGTTCACCAAGGGGTCTAGTCTGAATTGAAGAGATTACATACCATTTCATGTGAGGCTTGAATGTTGAGGACTCCCTAAAGAACAGAGCCGAGGAACAGATCTCTTTGACTGTAAACACCATTTAGCAGGTTCCTGGTTAGTGTCAGTCTCTAGCTTGGATTTTCCAACATATTCAACTGCAGTCAATGAATCATCGTTAGTTACAGGAGCAGTGAGAGTTTTGTGTTGTTTTATACATTTTCTTATAATTGTATTTTCAGTATATTCTGTTCTGGTCAATATGTTACGCCCATGACAGATAATTTGTCTGCTTCTCTCAAAACAATCCAATATCCTGAGATGTCAGAATATGAGGCTGTGATTAAGAAGCATCTGTATCAGAGTTACTCAAGTTAACTCCTGAAACGACTAAGACTACAACTTCCTGTTGATGATGAAGGTTGTCAGAGTAACAATGAATCTGTTTATTTCTCTAAAAAGGTCTGCATAGGGAAAAAGACAATTTGAGATATAATTTGTCTTTATATATTCAGGACATGACTATAAAACTAATTAAATTACCTTAAATTGATCTATTAATCACTTAACTTTGAAAATCTGCATATGTCTGTTTATACTCTATAATATATATATACACACACACATATATATAAACAGCATTTTTTATATTCAAAATAGCAATATACATATATATATATATATATATATATATATATATATTTTGAATTTTTATAAATAAAATTATTTTTTCATGCAGCCGCCACAAACAAGATTAAAAATTTCAGTCACATAGATTAATATTTACACATTTTTCAATCTTTTTTCCCTTTTCTTCCTTTATCTTTTTCTTCTCTTTTTTCTTTTCTCTAATTTTTCTCTTTTTCTTTTTTCCCAATATTTTTTCTTTTTCTTTCTTATCTGTATTTTTCTTTTTCTTTGCATTTTTTTTCCTTTCTTCTCTGCCTTTTTCTTTTTTCTCTCCATTTTTCTTCCCCTCTCCTGTCTTCTCTTTATCTTCCTCCTCTCTTCTCTTATTCTTCCACCTCTCTTTTCTTCCCTCTTTCCTTTCTTCTCTCTTTACCTTTCACTATTTTTCAAACTGGTGAGCTCAACACCCCTCACCCATCATTTCTTCCTTCAATTTTCCTTCTTTCATTCCCCCCTCACCTTTCTCTCTTTTGTAGTTACCATTTCAACACTTCTTTCTATCTTTTCTTCTTCACTTCCTTAATTCTTTCCTTTTAATTTCTCTTTCATACTTACTGGTGTCACCACCAGTCATTCGTCCTTGTATCAGTCACCCTGAACAAAAAAAGAGAAAAAATCTTTCCCCATCCATAGTTGCGGCTATATTCTCCTCCTAGCTCTGTGCCAATCAGCAACACAGTTCTATAACATCCACTCTGCAACAACCCCCCACATACACACCTTTTGCTGCTTCCAAATTCTGATGAAGATGCAGATTTGCTATAATTGATGCCAGCTCAGTTCACCTGTGCAGTACCGTCTGTCCATCATTCTATTTCTTAACAGTTCAATCTTGCTGTATTCCTCCATCTTGGATTATTTTCATCACTTCTTCCTCTTCTACAGTTAATCCTATTTTTCTTTATCTTTCTTCCAGCTTTCTTTCCTTCTTCTGCCATCATTCTTTCTTTTCATTTTTTAATTTATTTTCTTTTTTCTTCTTTTTCTCTCCATTATTCTTCTTTCTTGTTCCTCTCTCTTTTTTTTTATTTTCTTCTTTTATATCCATGTCTTTTAACTTCTTCATCTCTGCTTCTCTTCCACTTTATAAAATTTTTTTTTTTTTTTTTTTTTTGCCCTGCAGTCTTGAACCCATACTTTTAGTTTTATTATTCTTCCTTTGGTGTTAATTTCTTCGTGTCACTGCTCTTATTCTGTTCTCTTTCATTTGCATCACACCCCTCCTCCACCCCAAACCCCCACGCACTTTCATTTCTCTTTTACTTCCACCTTCATGTATCTTTTATCTATCAAATACATCCATTAATCTTATCTATCAATTTCATTCACAGTTTTTCATCTATCTAATTGTCAATGGATTCAATGAACTTACTTCTTTTTGATGTGTATATCGCATTCTCTCTCCTTATGAACTGATTCCAATCATTACTAAGCTGGGTCCCCCAACTTTCTAACAATCTCTTTATTTTTTTTCTTCTTCATTCTATCCTTATCTATTAATGCCTTTTATCTATCATATAGATGTGTACATACATTATAATTTATTCTATTATTTGTTTAGATATTTATATTTAGGAACTCAGTTAGAAAATCTAAGGTAATTAGGAATATATCTTTCTATGCACATGCATGTACTTGGATAGATAGATTTTAACTTCATACATACATATATATGTATGCACACAAACATACACACATATATATATATATATATAGATAATATTGTCGTCAATATACACACACACACACACACACACACACACACACACATATATATATATATATATAAAAATTTCCAAGAGGATAGAATCCAGGTATTTTTCAATGTCCAGGACAGAGTAAGAATGAATTGAATTTGTAGGTCTGATGATTTGGATTGTGATTGCGATTCAATATAATAAATTATAACCATGGATTATTAGTGTTTGGGCCTTTTATATTATATCTATATATATATATATATATATATATATATATATATATATATAAAAATCATCTCCAAAATGTTTGTTTGGGAGTTAGAAGTTTAGAGGTGGTTTTACTCAGTCACAAGTCAACTTCCACCCTATACATACCTGGGCATATAGGGAATGATTGGCACATTCGCTTTCTGACTATAAGACCTGGATGCGAATCAATTTTTCAGGAAGGTGACATATTTATTCTATCCCAGTGTGCAGCACCTTTGGAAAGTGCCTTAAAATCGTATTACAGGTTGACTCAAACCTTGAGTGAAATTGTGTAGATAGAACTGTTCAAAAGCCATTGATGGTTGTGCTAGCATGAAGTCACAAGTCATTGTGACAGAGCTGTATACTGGCATTGCTCAAACTGTTGATCATCATAGATTATGCAGTCTCTCCCAGAAACTGTAAGGTTCACACAGCATAGTTGCAGTATAAACCACAGGTGAAATTGTAGATGTTGAAGAAATAAAAATGTGCCTAAGCAGGTGTTTGCTATAGGGATTGGCAAGCCACCCTAGGAATCAGGCATACTTGGATACAAGCAGCCACTATATCTATATAATAAATGTGAATGTCAATGTGTCATTGTGTCACACTTTTACAACTTTACTCCTAAAGCCTGTAGCCTAACATATATCATTTTGGAATCAAGCCAACTCTGTCAGTAAATTAAAAAGATTCCAGGCCGGATCTGGACCTGCAATACTTAAATTTTGGATTCCCAAGTTTTCATTATTGTGATTGTTTTCAGCAATTTTTGCATATGATGTTTTGTGATAAATTTCTTTGTAAGATAACAATTTTTATAACTTGGAAGTAAATCTGGGAATAATCAAAATTAATTGTGAAATTCAGCAAAAGTCACCCATGAAGTAAAAGTAATTGTTTGTATGGAAAGTATGGCCCTACGTACATCAAATTGTCTTTAGATTAAGTGGTGGCAGAAGAATTATCATTAAACTTTTAAAAGGTAAGCATAAATATTAATGCAAAACTTAAAAGCAGCAATCAATTTTGAATTCTTCAGTAGTTTATTGTTGCCTATTGCATCTACTCCTTCCTACCTTTTGTGATTAATGTCCAACATTAATCATTTCACTCCAAATGAGATAATAAAGCAACTAAGACACAAGAAGTTACTGAGAAAATATTGTGGAGAGAGATTTCATTAAAATATCCTATACTGGAGAAGACAGAAGATGATGACTAATGTTGCATTTAAAGTTTTGAAGATGATAGTTGACAGTAAAGCAGTAAGCTAGAAAAATTCCACAAACATGAAATGCAAGAGAAGAAACTTTTATCCTAGAACTTATGCTTACACTATATATATATATATATATATATATATATATATATATATATATATATATATATGGGATAAAGTGCTCAATATCAGAGATAAGTGTATGTAAATATAAATATAAAATTGAACATTGAAGTCAACACTCGGAGGCTGCAGGCTGTTTCATGCTAGACGCAATCGTTATATATATATATATATATATATATATATATTCAGTTTGATAAATATATTAATAGATATACCAAGACAGATATCTAAGGAAAGAGTTATTCTTCATTATAAAGTGGAATACATTATGACAAGTACTTATACAATGATTTATTTCAGCAAGGTCAAATCTCAATTTGATTTTGGAAGTGACAGACAAGATAAAGTGAGCAAAAGTTACATCATGTCAAAATAAAAGAAACTAACTTTTATGCCCAATATAAATAATCAATAATTTAGTATTTCTAGTGTACCTTAATATATACAAAAGGAAATTTGACTATCACCAGGGTGAATTCCAATTCATTGTGAATAGTATTAAGTTTTTGTCTAAAAGTGCATGATTCCACTTAACATTTTCAGCAGGAATTTTATACCTGAGAAATGTTTGATTGTATTTTGCATTGCTTTCTGCAAGTTGGATTCTATCTGTCATCAAAACTGTGTAAAGTTCCTTCATCAGTTTGAACAACTGTTGACCAGCTTTTTGCCAACATCATGTATGTGCTTTAAATCTGATGCCCTTTTCAATACTCAATAGATCACATAAACTTAATCCTGAATAATTTCCTCTTTCTTACAAACAGGTGAATGTTTCTAGAAAATAAAGAGTTCTACAAATCTGGTTTTAAATTTGCCTTTTTTTTCCTCTTGGTGAGTGTCTTTGACAGCTTTCACTTAACAGGTATTTGGCAGGTTTCCATTGCAATACTCTATTAAAACATACATAGAACAATGATATGTTTATGCTATAAGTACAGAAATACAACATTCTTTTGTTGTTAAATAGGCTACAACATAAAAGAATAGACAAAATTGTAAAATGATGAGACTTAGCTGCTAATCTAGTCCTATGTTTAAATTTGTGAATTTGAGTTACCAAATAGCAAAGCACATAGAACAATTACCATGAAAATATTTATATAAAAGGCACAGGGTAGCTATGTTATGGCAATAGGACAGTAAATGAAGCCGAGATGCCAGCTCAGGACTGATAACATTGCAGATTCTTCTTTGGATTCATAAGTAATGATTAACCAAATTAGTTTCTAATATCCATTTCTAGTATTGTGAATTCTGTCCTCACATTGTGCTCTAATATTGTGGCCTTGTGACAAACTGCATGTTACTTATTTAAATCTATATATTAATGTAATACTGATATGTCCCGGAAAGGGATATATTTGAACAAAGTAGCTAAGTGGTTTTGACTACTATAACCAAGTAGTATACGGTAGCAGTAATTGACTGGTACGCTTCATAGTCACTACGACACATACCAGTCGCAGGTAAGAAGTCTAGATCAATGGTGTAGTCCAATGGGTGTCGTTATAGACTTAGCTCTCAGAGTAAGGCTCTGACTCACCTACACATCCGTCAGTATTTATGACGGACACCAGCCAATCATATTCCAGTAAGGGGGAACACAGGTGTACGCATATTCCATTATATCAAATACCTACATATATACTGATATTATATAACAGTAGTAATAATAATAATAATAAAAGTGACAACAGTAGTAGTAGTAATAATAGTAGTAGTAATAATAGTAGTAGTAATAGTATTAATAATAATTCATTCAGACATAAATAGCATATTAATAACAGAAACAGAAATTTTAAGTATTGATTGTTGTGCTTCATAAATGCAACTAAAACTTTTCAAAAAAAGAGATGATTATATTCTCTATTATGCTTTCTTCCATTTTATTTTTCATAGTTGTTTTATTTGTTTGATTTTATTACTTTAGCTCTTAAATTTTACAAGTTCTAGTTCAGAAAGACATTGCTGGTATCTAAATACAGGTTGAAACAAATGTCAGTATTTTTTGTAGGAAACATTAAAGACACAGTAGATAGGATCAAATATTGGAATAATATACTCTCCCAAGAAACATTAAAGATACAATAGATAGGATCAAATATTGGAATAATATACTCTCCCCAGAAACATTAAAGACACAGTAAATAGGATCAAATATCGGAATAATATACTCTCCCAAGAAACATTAAAGATACAGTAGATAGGATCAAATATTGGAATAATATACTCTCCCAAGAAACATTAAAGACACATTAGATAGGATTAAATATTGAAATAATATACTCTCCCAAGAAACATTAAAAGACACAATAGATAGGATTAAATATTGAAATAATATACTCTCCCAAAAACATTAAAAGACACATTAGATAGGATTAAATATTGAAATAATATACTCTCCCAAGAAACATTAAAGACACATTAGATAGGATCAAATATTGAAATAATATACTCTCCCAAGAAACATTAAAGACACATTAGATAGGATTAAATATTGAAATAATATACTCTCCCAAGAAACATTAAAGACACATTAGATAGGATTAAATATTGAAATAATATACTCTCCCAAGAAACATTAAAGACACATTAGATAGGATCAAATATTGAAATAATATACTCTCCCAAGAAACATTAAAGACACAGTAGATAGGATCAAATATTGGAATAATATACTCTCCCAAGAAACATTAAAGACACATTAGATAGGATTAAATATTGAAATAATATACTCTCCCAAAAACATTAAAGATATGATAGATAAGATCAAATATCGGAATAATATACTCTCCCAAGAAACATTAAAGATACAATAGATAGGATCAAATATCGGAATAATATACTCTCCCAAGAAACATTAAATATACAGTAGATAGGATCAAATCTGAAAAGAATATAGTCTCCGAACAAACATTAAAGACATGATAGATTGTCTCCCAAGATCATAAATTCATATTTTACCATTCATCCGTACATTGAATATTGCTTCCATATGAGGTCTGGAGCTCCTATTATATAGCTTGAGATTCTTGACAAAATTTAAAGAAGGGTCTGTAATTTAACCTTTAACATGCTGGAGGTGAAAATTGTCGCCATAGAATTCTCTCCTTTTGCACACTGTAGGTGCATTCTGTTGCCTCGAGAGGGTTACTATAAATACTTGTCAACTCCTATTTCCAGAAAGAACAGTTGACATGTGTTTATTCATCACAACCCTCTTGAGGCAACAGAAGGCGCTTACAGTGTGCAAAGGGAGAGAATTCTACATTGATAATTTACACATTCAGTGTGCTAAAGGTTAATTGATCCTGATGTGGCATCTTGACTTCAGTCATTTTCTCACCAACATGATATGGCCTCCCTCTGTCTTTTCTGCAAATATTTTCATGGCAGTTGTTTGGATAAACTTTACTCCTTTGTACTTCAACTGAATGAAGTTGAACATATTACTAGATTGGCAACTAGGTCTCAACCATATGATCTATTCTAATAGTTTCTTTTCTCACATTTCTTGCTTGTCAAACTCCCTTTTGATTTATTATTCCCCTGCCGTCTATCTTAAAAAATTTAAATACAATACCAATTGCCATCTTCTGTTCTGCTTAAACCTGTTCTTTTATTGTCCTTTCTTCTCACTAAATGTACTCTCATTCTCTTTGACTCCCATTAGCACGTTGCATCTTAGTGGCATTATTGCTATTTTCTGTCTTCATGAAACCTGTTCTTTTATTGGCATTTCTCCTTACTAAAGTCTTCATTTTTATCCTAATGGCATTAACAAATGGGGGAAAATGATTTTAAAATTGTGTGTGTGTATATATATATATATATATATATATATATATATATATATATATATATATATATATATATACATACATATATATATATATATATATATATATATATATATATAATATGTGATTAATATGCAGATTCTGTCTCTCAAAGTACTCAATAAATGCAACCTTGCCCCTCTATTGAATATATATATATATATATATATATATATATATATATATATATATATATATATATATATATTCATAATTACATGTTATTTAACTACAAATAAATAAAAATATTAAAATACCTATATATTAATCCCTTTATACATACTTAATATTCAAATGATGACAATTGATACAACTTAAATTTTTTTAAATGGTATGGTGGTAGTGATGGTAATAATAATGCCATTGATGGAAATATTATTATTATTACAATTAATATAATTAGTAAAATTGCAATGATAATAAATTGTGATGATTGAAACTACAATCACCAACCATAAATATGACAAGGGCCAAGTACTTGAAGACTATTTGCCAACATTGTTACCAATACCAGGGCAAGGTATGAAAAAAAAAAAAGTAGGAAGGATGTTATAAATGAAGATAGAAGAAAGACACTGACTACTATTCCTGCTGCTATGAGCACTGCTTCAACCTTCAATTGTGTTGCTGATAAGACAACTGTAAATATAAACAAAGAAAAAAAAGTACAAAATAATTAAAGGGAGATTTTAAAATAGAGATATATTGCAATAAATATTCCCCCAAGTGCATTAGTGAAAATAATAAAGTCTCACTTCCCAAAGGCATTTTGCTGATGTGCAAGGTTGACTGGTTTAATGTTATTGAGTGAAACACTGCTGAATATGGATTTAACGAAACATAGACTCACACACTCATGTGAATAGACAGAGAGTCATATACGGAAATGCAAACATACGGTTTTTAGCTTGTGTACATGGATATGCAAAGGGTTTCTTTCCCTCCATCTTTCATTTCACCTAATTTTTAAGTGGGTCTCTTGAGAGCATTTTTATAACTCTTCCAAACCCTTTGACATTTTTCTTCATATGAATTACCTGCATATGCTTAAATAAGTTTGTGGATATCTATCTATCTATCTATCTATCTATCAATTTCTTTCTCTCTCTCTCCCCACCCCACATCTACAGGGATGTGAGGAGAGATAGAGAGAAAGAAAGATATATATATAGATATGTACTGACTGAAATAGATAGATGTGAATAGAGAGAGGTAGAAACAGAAATAGACTGATAGAACAACACTGTACAACTTAATGAATAGGTTTGTGGCATTATTACTGGCACCAATACAAACTAATTACACCAAGTATCCTCCTCCTACTTTTCTCCTCTTCCCTTTACTCCTACACATTTATATCTCTCCCCTCCCCCACTGTACATTTACTCTTCCCAGTCCAAATTTAAAACAGTAACCCTAATACAAACCTGAGCCCACACTACATAAACATAATTTAAAAATCATGAGTCCTACCATTACTGGACCACACAAACACACACACACATAAATGAGCACATATTTACATATTGAGGTTCATACAAAAATAGCCACAATGTAAAGTCTCTTTCTTTTTATCTCCCTTCTTTTTTTCACTTTAACTGTTTCTATCTCTCTCTCTCTCTCTCTCTCTCTCTCTCACCTACGTTTTTCTTGGTTTTATTCTTTGCAGTAAAAAAAGGTATTCTGCATCTTAAATCTTACATCTTCTACTGTCTAAAGTGAAAGTGAAAGTTGATTCAGCTGGTACTGTGAAACCATTCACACACAATCACCAACAGCGGTACTAACAACAATCATAGAGATAATTTTAACATAAGAATATCTCTACAAACAATAGTTGCAATGAGAATAGATTGTTGCTTATTGGCTTAACAAAGTTTGGACTTTTTATTATTTTTGGCTTACCTTTTGTTGGTTCAAATCCAGAAGCAGAAGCCTAACATTTCATATATAGAAACTATCTTCAAAGTACAAATATTGAAATTTATTTACTTGTAAAAAAAAAAAAAAATCATATTGACAGCAGTAACAACAACAAAAGAAACAATAATAAATCAATCTTCACTAATTTCTTTTTACCAGGTGTCTTTCCCAGTCCTTTGAGCAGGAATAGAGGTTTATCCCTTGTTTCCTGTTTAATTGGATTTCCAGTTCCTTCCAAAATTTTTCATTTCCGGTGTCCCCATATATCTTGGTGCTTAGAGTAGTGCCTCTTACCCTGTGTAACCCTCTACCTTGTATGGCTTTCAGGTCTTGTACAGGTTGAAAATCATTGTAAAGAACATCATTGTAACAGACAAGAAAAATGCTTTTAAAAAAGTGAAGTAAACTTTCATTTCTAAATATTTTCTTTTCTCTGCTACAAAAAAAAGTGTCAAATTTTAAAAAAGCTACAAAAATAATAAAGGCTGAAATCTTTTTTTTTGCTTGACTTGATATGTAAAAAGAAGCAAGGAAAAATGGATTAATAAAGAGAGGTACAAAAATAGAATCTTGGGATGGGATGTCTCTGAAATTTAGAAAAGTAGAAATAATAACTAAATCAGTTCAAAAATGCACGTAAATATATAAATAGGTAATAAAGTTTGAACAACAGCCTATATATTTCAGCCTTTTTTCTATATTAATTTCACCCTTTCTTTTTCTCTATTTATTTCATCCTTTTCTCTTTCTATTTATTTCATCCTTTTCTTCTCTATTTCTTTCACCCTTTCTTTTTCTCTATTTATTTCATCCTTTTCTCTTTCTATTTATTTCACCCTTTTCTTCTCTATTTCTTTCACCCTTTCTTTTTCTCTATTTATTTCATCCTTTTCTCTTTCTATTTATTTCACCCTTTTTTTCTATTTCAGCTTTTTTTTTTCTCTTTTTTTGTGTAAAATAAAAAAGCAGTAAATTAAAATGTTTAAAGTAATGAAGAGTTTTCATGAGCAGAAGAATTGAAATAACAAATCTGACAAAGATGGCTGAAACTGTTAGAATTAGAGCAAGTGCCGATAGCAGAATGAATTGGACAGAAGTTTGGGAAGAAGAGGAAACCATGTCTGTTGGCATGACTTCAACTTTAGAAAGATACCAACTTCTATCTGTCATGCACACTGTCCACTGGAGGTTAACCTTTTGAACCTGTCATTTTGGAAGGAATGAACCACAAGGTATTTTCATCTCTATATATTTAAACAAGTAAATGTAAAAGAATTCCTACAAACACACACACACACACATTTAAACAGTATATAAGTGTGTGTATATATATACATATATATATATATACACACACAATTTTAAGTATTGGTCTATTCATATGAATCAATTACTTGTATATATATATATATATATATATATATATATATATATATATATATCAGTGGTAACAGGTCATCAATGTTTGCAGGGATCATTAACAATCTTTAACAAAATATACTATTGGCATAACTTAGATGCTAAAATGATTTCTTTACTCTAAAATATATAATTTTCAAAAATCTCTGGATGAAATTAAAAAGAAAACATTTTGGTATTTTAATATTAATTGTAGTAATTCTATGAAAATAAACATTTATTTTTTTTAAATTTTCCAGACATGTTAGAAAAAAGAGTCAGGACAAAGCCTTTGATATGTTTGTTTATTGCCCACTTCCAATTTTTCATTGTTTTATAGCCTGTTTATCAAGTCACTGATGGTAGAGATAGGAATTGTTGACTAATGTCATATTTCCTCAACACTACCCCAGTCACACTCCTCACCCTAGTCCTCCAGTTGATGAGTTAAGGCTACCACTTTATTTCATTTTCACTGAATTTAAGGTCAGGCTAAATTTAAAGGTACATTCTTCTAAAAAAACCTTATACTGTATGTAATAAATTATTTAAAATTGACTTGAAATAAATATACTTGAATGTTGACTTACTTGGGCAAAGTTTGGTTAGTTATTGGGAAGTAGACCAGGTTAAGAATTTTTTCTTTTCAGCACCTCCTTGTATATCTAAATCAACACACACACACACACACACACACACACACACACATATGTGTGTGTGTGTGTGGATGCTCACTGCTGTTGAGTCCCAAATATAGGACGAAACAGGTGTCCAATGCTTTCTGCATTCTGTTGAGGTTTCTTCTAGACTCGATGAATTACTTAATTATAATTATCTCAAATCCTCCTAATAATTTCTATAATAAAAATATAAAAAATCTGGTTTGTATTTTTATTATCTTCCTACTTTAGAAACTTCTTATCTGACCATTTATTTTTTTAATCATTTCATCCCAAGCAAGGCAATAAAACCACTAAGATACAAGGGGTCACTGAGTGTAAAAGAATATGAGAAAAATTTAAACATTAAGGAGGAAGAACAATAAAAGAACAGGAATTAAAAAGACAGATAATATTTGACATTGCAGTTAAATTTGTAAAGACCAAAGACAAATTTAAATCAAGTCAAAAGAGTTCCACAAGTGAGAACGTATAAAGAAAAATATAAAATATTTAAATTACTTAATAAAAATATTTAAGTTATATTAAGATACGCAATGTGTACTAATTAATATAAATAAACAGATGAGTATAATAACTACACAAAATATATAACTTATACAACCATATAAACTAAATAAATAATAGTAAATATTCATCACTTTATTCATTTCGAAAGAGCAATAAAACACATGCCTGTTTACTTTAACTGCAGTATTTTATTTTCAAATTAGAATATTCAAAATATTTTCTGCCACATTTCTTAAGTTTTGAAAAAGAAAACTGTTGTACTGCATTGTTCTACAACATGTGATCTGTACTCGACGTCTTGCCTGTCTCTAAGTTTACTATATACTTTATATATTTTCTACTTAACATATACAAATAGGTACAATCCTAGTTACTAATCCACTACAAAAATGATTTACTATAGTTTTCCTTTAATATCACTTTTACAAGTATATTGTAATTTTCTTCTAAGGTTTTATTTATTCAAAATTTACACATCCTATTGTGAGTATTTGGAACATAATACTGGATTCTTTTGTTACACAAAATATATAATTATTCATAATTATAGTTAAGGGTTATTTAGACTTAAAATAGAAAATAAGAAAGAAAAAAGTCTTGTTTAAATATCTGCGTCTTACTGTTCGTTAAGATGACTGTTGTTTCCTTTGCAGTTATTATTTTAATCTCTTTTCTTTAAAAGCAAAGTATCCATAACATTTTATTTGATGAGGTTAAATTTTCCCACAGTCCATACTAGAAAGCATTATCATCCTGGAGGTTCAAGCATTTCACTCTTTGGGGCAGTTCATTATCCTGCCTCATTAGCAACAAGAGAAGGAGAAATAAAAGTCATTTTGAGGAACCCATTAAAACAAATTCAGGCCAGAGATTCACATGCCAAAAGATCTACCAAGATAACTAATAACAAAGGATATCATTAAATAAAACTCAGAGTTTGGTAGTTGTTCACAATTCACTTTGCTGGCTTAACTCTGTGTCTGTCTGTCTGTCTGTCTGTATACTTAGTCAATTTCTTAATTTCTGTTGGTATATTGCACATTGCTGTAGACATTAGGCTGTGTCAGCTGCTAGCTAGAATTTTCTCTTATTTTTCTATCTTGTTTCTAGAAAATAAATTTGTTATTTGATTTTTATTGTTTTGTCTCAAAAAATTCTGCTCATAGTGTAGCGTTGAAAGTGGAATCAGCATGCAAGTTCTAATTCCACTTGAGATTATTGCATTCAATTTCACACAATCACCCTTGGGCAACTTATGAATCCATTTCTGAGATAAGGAGAAAAAGCAAAATAATTTGTTTCTTTTTATTATGCCAATGTCCATGAGGCTTTTTGTTTTTCATCAGGGACATCAAAATCAAGCTAATATGGTAAAAGCTAAGCAAATTATTAAAAAATAGGAAAATATCATTAGAAACAAAAAAAATAAGTACTAAACTGTTATGCAATATTAGTCTTCCTATGTGGTAGTGAATGCTGGATAATTTCTTCACGGATGAAAAAGCAACAGAAATGTAGTTCTACAGAAGGATACTGAGAATACCATGGATTAAACATGTGAGCAACAATAAAGTTTTAGAGAAAATGGAAACAAAAAGAGCACTTATACTTAACATCAGGAAGAGATAGATTACATTTCTAGGGCACATAATGAGGAAAGGGGGCTTGAAAACCTACCTAGAGAATTTTAGTAAATTGGTGGCGGAACAAAGTTTATGAGAGATAACACAATGATAAAAGATCAGGAAATTGATTAAGTGAGTAATTCCACTATCTTTGGGTAAAGTGTAATAACAGACTGCAGAAAATATAACACAGAAATTCAAAGACATGAATAGCAAAAAAATACTTTTCAGAAATTTAAAAAAAAAAAAAAAAGAGATAAAATTGGAAGCAATAAAAAAAATGTATGCCAACAATCTGAAAGAGAGAAATGAAATTTTGGAATACATAATGATGAAAGAAGGCTTGGAAAATTTAACACTCAGAGGAAATATCAAAGGAAAAAGAAGCAGTTGAAAATAGCAAGTATAAGGTAATATGGATTGTAGCATTCCAAAAAGTGCCAAGATGTAGCCAAAAAAATCATGTCTACCATACAGCTAACATAAAGTTCTTGATAATAACCGAGACAGTCAACAGTGCTAGAAATTTAAAAAAAAGAATATTACTGTGGTTTGTTCATAGCAAACCAATTCAATAGCTTAGTAGAACAAATAAGTAAAGGTAATTTTACAAATATAATTGGTTTGTTTTGATTTTTCTAGTTTTGTCTCAGATAGAGGAAATATTTCATAATAATACCCTTAAAATCTATTTCATATATATATATATATATATATAAGGTCCCATAGGTAATGTTTTGAATCTGATAATGTTAAACTGAATTGTACTTTCAGTATTCTAAAATGCCTAAACAATAAAAACAAACAACCCAGAATTTGTTTAACTTTAGAAATTGATACAAAGAAAAATTTGCAATGTTATTGGTCCTGATCTTGCATCTCAGTTTCAGTTGCTTTCCCATCACTGTAATGTAACTTCCCTATCACTTTTTCTATAAATATTCTCATAGTAATTGTTCTGATAATCTCTTTTTGGTGCCTTGACTTTACAAATTTAAGTACAATATTAGATTAGCAACTAGCTCTCATCATTTTGCAGTTGAATTGGCTAGATGTAAGAGTAAATTCTTTGCCAAGATTCATCTCTTGCAAATCTTGCTTGTGAGACTCTGGTCTGGCTTCTTGCTTTTCAGTCAACTTTGACCTTCAAAACTTTAAATGCAATGTCAATTATCCTTTAATATCTGTTCTTTTATTGTTCTCTCTCCTTAATAATGTTTTTCTTTTTCTCATATTCTTTCACATTCAGTAAACCCTTGCACCTTAGTAGCTTTATTGCCTCGCTTAGAGTGAAATGATTAAAGACAAATATCATTACAAATTTAGTTATTAGCTTAACTGACTCTCTTAAAGATAGACATGTCTTTGCCACACATATGCAATGGTCTATGAGTTTATTTACATAAAAGAAATTGCTGAAAATAGTTTGAAAAGGTTTAGAAAAGATGATGTCTACTTAAGAGTTATGCTATGAATAGGATGTCTTGTTGAGTTAGATAATCCATAAGTTCTTTTTAAGAATTGGCTCAAAAAATAAATTAAAGTCATTCAATCACTTGACTATCTTTTCCCAAGTAGTCATGGCATATTACAGAAAATGAAGAAAAGAAATCTGTGGAAAGCCATAATCAACTATTGACTTTCAACCTTCTCATTCAGTAACCTCTACCTTGAGTGGCTCATGGCTATTGTATTGGGTGAACAATAGTATAAAAAAGATTAAATGCCAGGGTGGACTG